AAGGAGAAGATAATGTAGTTGAAAAAGATGGGTGAAAATCCATAGGCCTTAGGTATCATCATGAAAGGAGAGACAATTGTGCAGCTAAAATTTATATTATAGGTCACTTAGCCAAATGTAGGAATAGATAATATGTTCTTGATGAAGTTTACAGCAGTGAAATACAAGAGCAGTGTATGGGGTAGGAGGGTTTCAACTAACTAGATATCTGCTGGAAGTTGCATCCTACTAAAAGTTGAATGGAAAAATTACTGACTTGCCTTGCTGACAGTATAAACTTTCGGATGGCAAATAAAGCAGTAAGGGGCTGCAACCTTGAACCAAATTCTGACAAGAGTGCTTGGCAACGGAAATACCAGGAACCTTAGAAAAAAGTCACTGTACTATCTTTTAGTTCAAATTCACCAAGAAAGAAACGATGAGAAGAAGGAAGTTCTTGTGTCTTAAACGTTAAAACAGTGGTACTCTAAAAATTCAGAAAAAAAGATATATATGACTGTAACTTATATGTTGAAGTCCTAACCCCCAGTACCTCAGAATATGACCTTATTTGGAAATAAGGTCCTTGCAGATGTAATTAGTTAAGATGAGGTCATACTAGAATAGAGTGGGTCCCTAATTCAATGTGGCTGGTGTCCTTATAAAAGGGGAAATTTGGAGACAGACACACAGGGAGAATGGCATATGAAGATGAAGGTAGAGATCTAGGTGATGCTTCTATGAGCCAAGGAATGCCAAAGATTGCCAGCAAACCTCCAAAAGCTAGGAGAAAGGTATGGAACAAATTCTCTCTCCCAGGCCTCAGAAGGAACCAACCCTGCTGACACCCTGATCTTGGACTTCTAGCTTCCAGAACTGTGAGCCAATAGTTTTTTAAAGCCACCCAATTTGTGGAAGTTTGTTATGGTAGCCCTGGGAAACTAATACAATGACCACAAGGCCTAACGCACTAATTGGGAAGATGACTCAAGTAGGTAGAAATCCGGGCCAGGCAGGGTGGCTCATGCCTTGTAATCCTAGCACTTTATGGGGCTGAGGTGGGAGGATCGCATGAGGCCCGAGTTAGAGGCTGCAGTGAGCTACGATGATGCTACTGTACTCTAGCCCAGGTGACAGAGCGAGACCCTGTCTCAAAAGAAAAAAAAAAGAAAAAGGTGGTAATCTTGCAATTTCAAAAAGTTCTGATGAGGTAGGAAAAAAAAAGCATCCAAAGAACCAGTGTGAGTACTAGGGAGATATGAATGATTTTCAAAAGGGAAAAAAGTGAATTTTGTAAAATAGAGCCTTTATCTTGATTCTTTTTTTTTTTTTTGAGACAGAGTCTCACTGTGTTGCCTGGGCTAGAGTGCCGTAGCGTCGTCTTAGCTCACAGCAACCTCAAACTCCTGGGCTCAAGCGATCCTCCTGCCTCAGCCTCCC